ATTTGCATACTATAATTACCAACCAAACATCTGTTCTTGTTGTATTCTTTAACACAAAGAGGTTTTATTTTCTCTTGTTTCGGTACAAAGTCAACTTTTCCTGTTGAAACCATAATTGATTCATGCAATGTGGATAACATTGTGACATCACGTTTGTCTTTCCATTGTAATGCAAGTAAATTGTTAGTATGATAAAAAACTTGCTCGTCAAGTCCCTCTATTTCTTCAAAGATCGGCAAATCAGCTCGATTCTTTTTAACAGCCCTACATGTTCCTGTTTTATATCGATGAAGATATTTAAATAAAGCGGGGCAGGCATAATAATTGTCTACAAATAATGAATGACATTTTAGAACCATAATAAACTATGAAATCAATTATAAAACCTATTTTGCAGTCACAAAGTATAAATAGTTCAATTCCAAACTTATGACGTTTTGATGGTATATAATGTTTGAAATATAACCGACCCTTCCACACACCTAAAGTTTCATCAATACAAAGGTTTTTATACAGACTCAAACAGCAGAAAAATCTTGTTTTTTTATTCATCAATAATTGGTCGGATTTTATTTAGACTATCTCCAGATATTATCACGGAAATGAAGGTTAGTAAGTAAAGCTGTAAATCGATCTCTGGTGAAAATTTCAGCAAATATAGGTGCTGCGATGAGACGATCTGTTGACCAATAACCACGAATACGGTTTTTTTTTCAAATGAGGCATTAACATAACTGTAGCTAAAAATATATACATTTCGTTAGTTGTTGTATTGATCCATGGAGCTGCATGACTGTGGCCCAAGGGGGAAATCACGTACTCCCGTACTCCGAGTACTCCTGGAGTACAGGGAGTACCGGGAGTACATGGGAGTACAAGGGAGTACCGGGAGTACATGGGAGTACATGGGAGTACAAGGGAGTACATGGGAGTACATGGGAGTACAAGGGAGTACATGGAAGTACAAGGAAATACATGGGAATACAAGGAAGTATAAGGGAGTACATGGGAGTACAAAGAAGTACAAGGGAGTACATGGAAATACAAGAAAACAGCGAATGTAATAATGTACCACAAATCGACTCCAAATATATCTCGAAAAAACATTGCATGACTGATTTTTTTCTTTTTTTGATTTATAAACGAGCTCGAATGATATATTGTTCAGTAGGTAATATATCCAGGCTTGTATGTAATAGACCAGACATCGCATTCTCTTTTTCGTCTTTCTTATGACTGAACATTTTAAGAGAACGTCCATTTTTTTCTCGTCTTATAATTGAACGTATAGACGAACGATAAAAAGGAAAGAAAAAATATCTAGTCAATATATTTAGCCATTTCTATCTTGTTTAGCGACAACAACAGACGTGTTTTTATTACTTCATTAACTTTATAACGTCTCAATTTTTAAACTTCTTATATGACTAGTTTCAAACGTCGCATCAACACTTCAGTGCTACCAGATGACATTCTTTCGTATAATGATACACAATTCTACAATGTTGTCAAACGATTTGTTTGTGATGATGCAGCTAATCTACTTGAATTTCAAGCAATTCGTAATACTGATTCACTTGTATTGATACATGATGTATTTGCCATTCTAAACATTCATTGTGCTACTTTACAACCATTGAAAGAAAAAATTTGTTTAAAATCCGATGATGATATCTATTTCGTTAAACCAGGTATTAAAAGTTTAATGAATTATTTTTGCGAATTGATCATCAAAAAACAAGATGAAGAATTAAAATTATTGAACAAACGGCAGTTCTCGTCGACTACTTCCGTTTCGAATATCGTTACCATGTCATCTATTACGAATGTAAGTCCAATGTCTCAACAACAATTGACTTCAACTAATCCTATGTCTGCTGCTGTATTATCACATACTACTTCTCTGAACGAAAAATATCATCGAAACTTCATCATAAATTCTATTCATAAATGGTGCACCAAATATTTTTCTAATTTATCATTAACTGAAGGCGATAATCATCATCTTATTGTTATATTCACAGACACCAATGAAATAGCGAAAATAAAATGTGGATGTGGAAGTAGGGTGAGTCTCGTGAAAATTCGAAAAAACTTTCAGCTGTCCAATTTCTACAAGCATCTGATGTAGTGAACTGCATTGGACTCCAAACTCCAATTCCAAAATCGAAAATTTGTGGAGTTGGAGTTGGAAAGAAAATTAGAAATTTTTTTGGAGTTAATTTTGGAGTTGTATCAGTAAAAAAGACAAGTACGTTTTCTTTTATAGATTAGCAATTNTTCGAAATTCGTCTTTCGGATTCTCGGCACGTGTGCTTCGCACCGCATTTCGTATTCGAGTCGAAGCTCGAATACCATCTAATGTCCTTACTTACTTGACGTACGCACATCAAGTCGTTGTTTTGTGACGCGATGATCTCAAGAACAAAAAGTGAAAAAACTTTTGTTGAAACGTGAAGTGAAAGTATTGAGAACGAACCCCGAACATCTTACGTCAAATAATCCTAAAGATCTCGATTGTTCTCAAAAACTGGTTTCCAAAAACACGATTTTGACAAAAGTTTGCATTGAGATAATTAAAATAAAAGTTGAAAGACAAGCTAGGCGCCATTCTTTCTCTTTGAATGTAAGACAGCTGTGATACAGCTGATTATAGATAATGAATCATTGAGATAATTAATTGTTTAATAAACAAAAGTTTCTAGAAGTCTATCGATATGTTTTAGTAGAGTTTCTCAAGTGATCAATTTCATAATGGATGCCTTCCATATCCGATCTCAGTCGTATCAGCTGTTCGATAATTCTATTTCGATTCGAAATTTGTTTTTCGGATTCTCGGTACGTGTACTTCGCACCGCATTTTGTATTCGAGTCGAAGTTCGAATACCATCTAGTTTTCGATTTTAATTATCCCAAAGCTAAAGCTGTTCAAAATCGTCGTTAAGAAGCCAATTCGTAAGAGGACTATGGGTCTTTTTAATGAGTTGATAAAAGATATCACACGTCCAATCACGGATCTTTTACTTCATGTTTCAACGAAATTGTTCGGAATTTCCGTTCTCTACATCATCGCGACACAAAATGACAAATTTCGATGCGTACGTAACGTAAGTAAGGAAAAAAGAAAAGTTCCGAAAGACTACATAAATGCCGTGCTTCGCACCACATTTAAAAAAAAACTAAATTCACGACGGACTACATAAGTGCTGTGCTTCACACCGCAATAAAAACTAGATGGCATTCGAGTTTCGACTCGAATACGAAATGCGGCGCGAAGCATGAGTGTCGAATACCAGGAAAAATTGGATGTATCGTAAAGGATTAATGAATGGTTTTACAATGTTTCATAGATCGTTTTTGCTCAACTGATCTTTACATTTTACTGGAATCAGCGTTGTTTTCTGTCTCTGTGGATTCTAAAACTCACGTTTTAATTGATCAGCTGATTGAAGAAAAGTAATTGGAAGGCTGACATGATAAAATTCATCACTAAAAGAACAACATCAAAGCGTATCAACATTTTTCTAACGAATGATATTGATTGATGATATAATAGTTTACAGGATTTATAATCTATAATGAGCTGGGTTTACAGCGCTTTGATTTATGGGAAAAGAGACTGATGAAAATATTTTGTTCATTTTTTCAGAGGAAAAGTCGTCAAAGACTATAGAAATGTTGTGGTTGATATGAATTAAATGAAATATGAACGTTAACGTAGATTGTATTGGTTAGTATTAACGACATCTTTAATTCTTGTGATCAATCTATATCGTCAATGGCTAAATAAAGATGAGTAATGTTTCATTTACCCTCTTGTTTTATTCATTTATTTATATTGATGTAGATTTCAACTGTTTGCGGTGAAAGTAAAAAAGGCAATGGTAAAGATTATTTTTTATGAATTAAATGTACTCACATTTCATCATAATCGGATGAGAAAATTATTAATTTTTTCTATTTAAAAAGTACTTTGATGTAGAACTCAATTTAGAATAATCTCGTAAATGTTTCTTTTTTTCTTTAATAAATCATTTAGAAACATAAATTTTACATGTTTCAATGATTTTGAACAATCATTAATTAGTTTACAATGAGTGTTCACAGAATTTATGATAATGAAGAAATTGACAATAATTTAGCTATGAAAAAATTAAAACAAAGTTCTTCAATTGATGATACGAAGCTCATTTGGAATTGTCATGAATTTGATCGATTTAAACGATGAATGACTGTATTTTTCGATAGTTTTGCGTTTATAAAATGAGAACATGTTGATCGAATGTCGTATGGTGTTAAATTACATAAAGCAATAAACAATTTTTATAAACATTTATATCACAATATGCATGAAGTAAAAAATGTTTCTTGAACTTTTTTTATTTAAATTAAATAGATTCTTTGCTTTTAGATATTGAACGATTATTTCCAACATATTTTACGTAAATAGAAGAAAAAAAAGTTGCGAACTCAATTGATTAAAATGACTTTACAAAAACGAGAAAATTGTACAGTTTAATATTATTAGGCTGGCAAGAAATTTTTGTCGTTTTTTCTGAAAATTTTATTTTTATTTTTTAATATCAAGAATACAACTAGCTTTCAACAATGTATGCTCCATTGTTATCTATGACTTGTCGTCACCGCTCTGGTAGAGAAAGGATCCCGCGTTCGTAGAAGTCCTGCAACTTTTGGCCAAAGAAGTTGAAGAGATCCATTTCCAAGTCGTTTTCGTTATCGAACTTTTTCTCCTTCAAATGATTAGAAAGAGAACGGAACAAATGGTAGTCCGTAGGAGCCAAGTCTGGAGAATAAGATGAATGTGGAACCGTAACCCATCTGAGCTCCAATAATTTCTCACGCGTCGATTTTGCAATATGGGGTCTGGCATTGTCATGCAAAAAATAAATTCTATCCTGCTTTCCCTGAAGTTTTGCTACAACCCGGTCTAATTGCTGGCAGTAGAGATCAGCAGTGATAGTGCAATTAGTTGAAAGAAATTCCCAATGAATAATCCCTCTTACTCCCCACCAAACACTCAGCATAATCTTCTTTTGGTTAAGGTCATCTTTGGGTGTTGCTACACTTTTTTTGTCCAGCTCCTAGCCACTGCCGCTTGCGCGTGTGGTTAACATACAACACCCACTTTTCATCGCCGGTAATAAGATTGTAAAGCCATTGGTAGTTGCGATGAGATGTCATTAATTCCATACAAGCATCAACTCTATGTTGGAGCTGATGTGGTGATAAATCATGTGGTATCCAAACTCCATATTTCCACATTTTGCCTAATTCGTGCAGATGTGTTTCCACTGTAGTATGAGAGCACCCAAGACGCTCTGCTAAACACCGCGTAGTCAATCTAGGATCTTCTTCGATAAGCTCCTTTAGGAGATCCATATCCACCTCTAGTGGTCTTCCAGTATGAGGTAAATCATCGAGTTCGAAGTTACCGTTCTTGAACTGATCGAACCAACGTTGCGCTGTACGAATGGAGAGCACATCGTTGCCTATCGTATGGCATATGTTGCTTGTTGCTTCTGTTGTTTTGTGACCCAGACGGAATTCATGAAGCAGAAGCACTCGGAGCTCTCTACGAGATATCTTTATTTCTAATTCTAGATCAGCATGTATATCGATAGTTTTATTGTTGTTCGAAAGATATTCACACTCTCTTTATATACCCTTACTATAAAAACTTCTAGAACCTTCTTGACTGTTCTAGGAAGTTACGAAAAAAAAACGACAAAAATTTCTTGTCAACCCAATAAAAAGAACGTATTTGTTATTTTATCATCAAAAATTGAAAGCCTACTATTTTATTGTCGAATTCTTGTCAAAAAGCGTCAAATCTATGCAAATTACTATTTTGTTTTAAATTAGAATTGTTAAATAATAGTGACTCTTGATGTATTGACTTTTGTTTAACTTTGCTAAACTATTTTCTCGAAACTATATTCTTTTTCTAAAATATTATTCATTTGTTATTAAAAAACATCTTTTAAAAAAATAATGTCCAAATCTTTACCAACTAACATTCTCAACTATTGTAACGATGACTTTTACGAACTTCTCAAACAAAAATGTGGTGGCGATGTAGTCCAATTCTTGAAAATTCTAAATATTTCGTCTGTCCAGTCACTATTGGGAGTAGAGAATTTGTTCGAGTGGCTGGAAGTTAATTCAGAACAACTACGGATCATTAAAAATAAATTAGCTTTTCAACATGATCATGGTTTCATTGAAGTCAAATGGGGCGTTCGGAACTCTTTAGAACGTTTTATTCGAGATTTTCGAGCAGCTAGCAATGATGATCCAGATGTAATAGAGCAAGTAGTCTCGCAGACTGATCATATAACTCTCTCATCCGATTTTCTTCGAAGACATCCAGTATCAAAGTCTTTAATCAAATTGTACCAAGCAATAGATAGTCAAAACCATGAAAATGATCTTGAAAATCCGTCTTTTTTAACTTCTCTGCTTGATAATATTAGTAACAACCTATGTCGATCAAAAAATGCATATAGTTATAATGATTATGTGCTTCGATTTGCTGTATCATTATATGTGCAAGGCGGAAAGAATGCGTACGAATTCGTTAGATAGAACATACCAGGTGCACTTCCATCTATACCCACTCTTCAAAGACTTGCTTTAAATACAGAGCTTCAAATTAATGAAGCAGATTTTCGTTTTGAATCGTTGGCTACACATATGAACTCAGTTGAAACAAATATCTCTTTTCCTTCAGAGGATTGCACAGCAGACATGAAAAAGATATCTTACGATAATGCTACGAATTCATTCATTGGTTTCACAATGCCGTTGAAAAATGGACTACCTATACCTCTATATTACCAAACAGAATCTTTCGAACAACTCCGTGATTGGTTTCTTAATAAAGACTGTTCACCTCTGTTAAATATTCATATGATTCAACCTATTACTAGAATAGACATGTCATCAAATCCTTTTTTGCTTTCTGCTTATGGAACAGATAGTGAATATCAATCTATAGACATAATTCGTGGTTGGATATGGATTTTCGAGCAAACTATGCTCAAAAATATTCGTATTGTAGGATATTCTACTGACGGAGATCCTAAATATCTACGCGCTATGCGCCTTGCTACAGGCTTCTTTGCCTCTTTATCAAACATGAAATTAAATAGTCATAAAGATGCATTCCATATTAAAATTCCAAATAACTGGAGTTGGTATTTTCTTGACGATCGACAACTATTCCTATGTTTTCAAGACGCAACACATTTATGCACAAAATTGCGTAATAGACTGCTCTCTAGTACAGCTAATATGCTAATCGGTAATCGACATATTTCACTTGATTGTTTGTCAGCATTAATCAATAAAGTTTCCAAATTACATCATAATCTAGTCAAATCAGACATATTTCCTAAAGACCGCCAGAACTTTAACTCCTGCATCAAGATTTGCAGCGACGATGTGATTAAATGTCTGTTGAATATACCTAATACTGAGGGCATGGTTATATATCTTCGTCTACTTCGCTCAATTATGATTGCATATATTGATAAAGAAACAGTTTTCATTGATCGACTATATCATGCTTGGTTCTCAGTTTTTCTTAGTCGTTGGTGGTATACACATAAACTAAAACTTCAATCACTGAAGAAAAGACATTTACATAAATCAAACAGAAACATACAATATGACTTACCCAGAAAATATCGGACTAGAGCCAATACTATGAACAGCCAAAAATCAGCAGAAAAGAACACCTAAATACAACAGAACAACTTTAATCAGAAACTTCATACAAAAAAATACCCACCAATTGACACAGCAATATAACAAACAATAATGCAGCACGAAACAACACTGACTAATAATGTTACGATACGAATGAATAATGACAAATCTTTATCTGAAAAAAGACAAATAAACAAGTAACGCGACGTAAGCGTCGCTAACCCTCTACTGAAAAGATATGATGACCGGGTTCGATATATTATAAAGAGCCGCATGATGTGCGACGTTTGAACCCAGTTATGCCTTTGCAAATAACTCTGCGTAGTGAAAGCAACTGCAGTATACTCAAGTAAAAAAACCCTGGGCAGTAGTTTTCTCACTGCGTAGGTTTTTTGTTATATGAGTGGATGTGATTTGTTCGACGGATTTTATTTACATTGAATAACTGAGAACTCGATAGATTTCCACGAGAAATATAGCACGGAATATATGAGCACTTTGGGTGTTCCGTTGGAGTTTTCTTATAATGCACCGAAGCATGAGAAGTAAACTTTGTTGTGGTACAGCGCACAGACTGAAGCCTAGAAACAAAATACCGTTTAAATAAAAGCTTTTCCTGAAAAATGGCGCAATGATGAAGTAATGGCAGACCGATATATTGCAACTACCTCTTTGTACAGATGATTTTCTGTCGCACCTTTCAAAAGAGAACACTTCCTAAATTCTTCGCTTCTAAAAAGTATATGCTTTGAATGACATGAATTACTCATACTTTTCATTCGTTCAGAAAATTTGTCGCTAGGTAACACGAGCTGTTGAGCGTTCATTAGTGCACATATGGTAGAAAACGGTTCCAAAACCATTGAATAAAATATACAAGTGACATTTTTTTGTCTGAATAAGTTCAAGTTATAGAACAGTATCTTTCCGGAAAAGAATTATTTTCATACGTTTCATGGCCGAAATGTTCAACTTTTTCTTTGCATGACATCAGTAGAATTAATCTGATGCTTCAATTTTTCATGCTCCGAATATCGATCTCATGGGAAAATCTTTTTTATTCACATTTGCTTTCAAGCTAGTACAACCTGAAGATGCTTTGGTTTTTATTAATATTATTATACATATAAGATACAAATAAAACCGATTATTTTGTTATATTTAAGTAAAAAGAAGTACTCATGCAAAAAACAACGAGAGTATTGAAAAAAGTTTTATTTGAGTCTGTTGACGAACGTTGTTAGCGTCAGTAGATGGTGCTTACTGACGCTAAACGTTTATTTTATGTTATCTATTTTTTGAATCTCTGATTTGATTTGTTACGTAATCTCTCAACTATGATTCATCTCGTGATTATCTT